AGGGATGCAAGGCTGGTTCAACATACACAAGTCTATAAATGTAATTCACCACATAAACAGAACCAAACACAAAAACCACATGATTATCTCAATTGATGCAGAGAAGGCCTTCAGCAAAATTCAACAGTGCTTTATGCTAAAAACTCTCAAAAAATTGGGTATTGAAGGAATATATCTCAAAACAATAAAAGCTATTTACAACAAACCTACAGTCCATATCATAATGAATGGGCAAAAACTGGAAGCATTCCCTTTGAAATCTGGCACTAGACAAGGATGCCCTCTTTTACCACTCCTATTCAATATAGTACTGGAAGTTCTAGCCAGAGCAATCAGGCAAGAAAAAGAAATAAAGGGTATTCAAATAGGAAAGGAGGAAGTCAAGTTGTCTCTATTTGCAGACAACATGATAGTGTATCTAGAAGACCCCATCGTCTCAGCCCAAAATCTCCTGAAACTGATAAGCAACTTCAGCAAAGTCTCAGGATACAAAATCAATGTGAAAAAATCACAAGCATTCCTATACACCAATAACAGACTTAAAGAGAGCCAAATCAAGAATGAACTGCCATTCACAATTGCTGCAAAGAGAATAAAATACCTAGAAATACAACTAACAAACGATGTAAAGGACCTCTTCAAGGAGAACTATAAACCACTGCTCAATGAAATAAGAGAGGACACAAACACATGGAAAAACATTCCATGTTCATGGTTAGGAAGAATCAATATCATGAAAATGGCCATACTATCCAAAGTAATTTACAGATTCAGCACTATCCCCACCAAGCTACCAATGATCTTCTTCACAGAACTGGAAAAAAACCACCTTAAACTTCATATGGAACCAAAAGAGAGCTGGCATAGCCAAGTCAATTCTAAGCGAAAAGAACAAAGTAGGAGGCATCACAGTACCAGACTTCAAATTATACTACAAGGCTACAGTAATCAAAACAGCATGGTACTGGTGCCAAAACAGAGATATAGACCAATGGAACAGAACAGAGGCCTCAGAGGCAACACCACACATCTACAACCATCTGATCTTTGACAAACCTGACAAAAACAAGCAATGGGGAAAGGATTCCCTGTTTAATAAATGGTGTTGGGAAAACTGGCTACCCATGTGCAGAAAGCAGAAACTGGACCCCTTCCTGACACCTTACCCTAAAATTAACTCCAGATGGATTAAGGACTTAAACATAAGACCTAACACCATAAAGCCTCTAGAAGAAAATCTAGGCACAACCATTCAGGACATAGGCATAGGCAAGGACTTCATGACCAAAACACCAAAAGCATTGGCAACAAAAGCCAAAATAGACAAATGGGACCAATTCAAACTCCACAGCAAAAGAAACAGTCATTAGAGTGAATTGGCAACCAACAGAATGGGAAAAAATTTTTGCAGCTTACCCATCTGACAAAGAGCTGATATCCAGATTCTACAAAGAACTAAAACAGATTAACAAGAAAAAAACAAGCCCACTCAAAAGTGGGTGAAGGATATGAACAGACACTTTACAAAAGAAGACATACATGAGGCCAACAAACACATGAAAAAATGCTCATCATCACTGGTCATTAGAGAAATGCAAATCAAAACTACATTGAGATACTATCTCATGCCAGTTAGAATGGCGATCATTAAAAAATTTGGAGATAACAGATGCTCGAGAGGATGTGGAGAAATAGGAACACTTTTACACTGTTGGTGGGAGTGTAAATTAGTTCAACCATTGTGGAAGACAGTGTGGCGATTCCTCAAGTACCTAGAAATAGAAATTCCATTTGACACAGCAATCCCATTACTGGGTATATATCCAAAGGATTATAAATCATTCTACTATAAGGACACATGCACATGAATGTTCATTGCAGCACAGTTTACAATAGCAAAGACCTGGAACCAACCCAAATGCCCATCGATGATAGACTGGACAGGGAAAATGTGGCACATATACACCATAGAATATATGCTGCCATCAAAAATGATGAGTTCGTGTCCTTTGTAGGCACATGGATGAATCTGGAAACCATCATTCTCAGCAAACTGACAGAAGAACAGAAAATCAAACACCACATGTTCTCACTCATAGGCGGGTGTTGAACAATGAGAACACATGGACACAGGAGGGGAGCATCACACACTGGGGTCTGTCGGCGGGGAGAAGGGAGGGACAGCAGGGGGTGGGGAGTTGGGGAGAGATAGCATGGGGAGAAATGCCAGATATAAGTGATGGGGAGGAAGGCAGCAAATCACACTGCCATGTGTGGACCTATGCAACAATCTTGCATGCTCTTCATATGTACTCCAAAACCTAAAATGCAATTAAAAAAAAATCCCTTATATAAAAAAAAAATCTGACATCGACAGTGCCCAGGCTGAGAATCGCTGCCTTAAAATAATGGGCACATGTAGGTTAAGAAGCAAGGATTCTCTCTGCAAACGATAAAGCTCTAAACTTTGGAGTGGAATGTATGAGGGCCAAGCTGACAGGTGGCTCACAGAGAGCCACTGTCTGACTTCAACCACTACACCTTCATAAAAAGCAATGGAGCCTCCAGACTTTCATGAATCATGGAACTGCACGGACCCTTGCCAAGACCGGCTACGTGAGGAGATGGTGGTTTCAGGAGCACCAGGAAAGGCACTTTGCCTCCCCAATTACCTCCAACACCCACTTGTCTGTGCCTCACTTCCTCTCACAGTGAACATGGCCTTTCATTCCATAACGAGGCTTAAAGTGCAAAGACCCCTGGAAGAGAGAACACAGTGACCTACATTCATATTCAAGGGAAAGTGACTGATGACAGATTGGCTTTCCCCTGAGACCAGTTTTCATACAGTGAAAGGCTCTGAACAGCTGAAAATGATGAAGAGGAAGAGAGGCCAGCAGGCTCTGATGAGGCCAGGAAGAGGTGAAGAAATGGGCAATAGAGGTCACTGAAATAACTGTCACCTACTCCACTGACTCTTTCTGCCTGAGCCTGCAAGGAGGGAAGGATGCAGAGAAAAAAAAAAATGTCACATTCTTGGCCTTGAAGAAGATTACAGTCAAGTTCAGCTCAGGTGAAAAAACTCCAGGAATGCTTAAAAGAATGGCTGAGATGCAAGGCAGTGCTACCCCACAGCCAGAACAGGAGATGAAGGTCCTTGCCAGCCGTGGGATCATGCTGAACCTCAGTTGGTTCTGGGTAACGCCTCCCACCTGACACCTAGCATAATCCTTGACACACAGTAAAATGTTCCAGCAATGCTTGTGTTTTGAGTGAATGGAAACTATTCCAGAGGAAGGTCTATCAAATGCCTAAAGTATTCTAAAGAGGGTTTGTTTTCCTTGACACCTGTGCCAACGCTGTTTCCCTCAATTTGGGAGGAAAGTCTTTGGTAGTTGTTTTTGCTCACCTGAATCCTATTTCATCTTGCGAAGCCCGTTTGTTTTCTCTGTAATTTCCTGATGGTTTTTCCCTGTTTTCTTATAAGCACATTCATCTAGTACTTACCATATTTTCTATGTGTCTTTCATAAACAGGCTTACTTCCAGAAAAGATTTGAGAGAGGCTTTCAAGTCCACAACAAAAATACTGTAATACAGTTTTTTAAATAAAGAATTTAAAAGGGAAATCTCAGAAATAATTTAGGAAGACAAAAATTGTACCAAGAAGCTGGGATAAAGCCTTTACCAGGAATTTCTGGAGGCCAAGGCAAAAAGATAAACATACAAGGCAGGTGGAGAGTTCGCAGTGTCTGATAAGAGAAAAGCCACAGTTCCATGAAGCGAGAATACTTTTTTATGTTAAATTCTAGGAGGAATTTGCTCCTGGCTTTTCATATATGCTGCCCAAGTTGTAATTTTACAGGTTTATCTCATGAACCAGAGTTCTTTAGGACAAAGACTACGTCTTAGATTAAATTTCCCTGATAAAAGCCTATATAACATTGTAAATACTCAAATATTTGCTAATGAATATGATTGTCTTGCCAATCTGGATATTCCAGTGGATCTCAAGATCCTAAGATTACCAGAGTGAGAGATTCATCAATTCTCTTAGCAGGAAAACCATTTGATTCCAGCCCCAGGTCCCCAGCCATGGGCAATGATGGGACGTAAAGACTCTTTCACCCCAACATCACTGGTATCCGTTTGAAGTGAGGGGCTGGAAGGTCCACCAGCCCTGTCTTCACACTCCCTCCGTCTCCATTTGTTCCTTCCTTGTTTAGGTGATTGTCTGTCTGTCTCCAGCACAGATTCTCTGTTCCTTCAAGCATTGGGGCTTTGCCTTATTGCCCTTTGATTCTCTGTGATAACTCCATGGTGCTTTACACAAAGAAGCTGACTTTTCTAATGAAGAAAAGGAAATTGGAAAGAGGTTCCAGAGCAAGTCTTTTTATTATTCAGCCCTGCTTCTGTCTGAGAAACCCTCAAGCTTAGGAGTGTATCCTCCTATGTAGAAGATCAACCCTTCCTATACCATACAAGCGTCTAGAAGGTTAAAATGCAGGTCACTAAAGAAGTTGAAGACTCAAGGGTCAGAAGATCTTAAATTTTCTCTCCCTTGTTTCTGTCTGTACTGCAAAGGTACACTGGGCAACCCTTCAGCAAAAAAAGCCTTTTGCATTTAGTAGGTGCTCAGTAAATATCTATTACAACAAGGTAATAAGACACAGCTACCTTGAACATAGTAGGTACTCAATAAATATGTTACACTGAGAACGACATGACACTTCACCTTTGCACACAGTAGATGCTCAACACATATCTACAAATCAAAAAAAGTTTGTAGTATATCTGCTTTTCACATAATAGGTGCTCAATAAGCATCTTTTACATTAAGGTTATTGCAAGATAGTTGCCTTGCACACAGTAACCTCCCAGTAAATGGCTATTGAATTGAACAATCGCGGACACCCCTCCTTAGAGAGCCCAGGGAGAGGTGACATTAGTCAACTCCCAGGCACAGATCCATGAATGGAAATGCACGTCTCGGAGGTAGTGCTTTCCAGAGTGCTGGAGAGGCGCGTGACAGTACGCGGCCACCGTGCTCTTTCGGGACGCTGTTGACCCACTGCTGGCTCCTGGTATCGACTGGCAATCGGAATCCATTCCCCACCCACGGGCGCGAAACAGCCGCCACCTCCAATGGTCACTTAGGGGCTGCACCTGAAACTCCTGCCACAGCCCCCTCCCGGGGCATCCGCCCACCCGGGCTTCACCTCCGATTCCAGAGAGTAGATGGCAGAACAAAAGCAAAGTCGGGGGCTTCCGATTGCTTTCCTGATAGGGAGCAATCAAGGAGGGAGGCTGAGGGAGCCGGCCCGGGACCCAGCTGGGATGTCAAACCCGAGCCGCTGCCTTCTCTGGCAGGATGGGGCTCCGGATCGCCGAGCGGGGAAAGCGGCGGGGTCTCCCCACTCCCCCTCTCCCAGGGGCACCGACCGGCAGTGAGTGCCTTGGTCGGGTGGCGCGGGGCGAGGGCGCTGTATTAACCCTTGAACGCGGAGGGAAGAGGATGGAGGGGAGGATAATCCGGGGCTGGGGCAGACCTCGCTACCGCGATCCGAATCTGAACTCGCAGTGTGAACCGCCCATGGCGACCCCTAGCGCTCGGGACTGTCCCCGGGGGTGGGGTCCCCTCGCGGAGCCCGGCCCCTACGTCCTTCCCGGTTAAACACACTGCGGGGAGCCCAGCGGCAGCCTCCCATCCCAACTGGGTCCAGGACAGCACCCGCGCGCGGTCCGCGGGCGAGGAGGTCACCCAGGGCGGCCGGGCGGGTCCCCAGGGAGACCCCCGCCGCTGGGAAACTCCCTAGTTTGGCAGTGGCTTGGCCTGGGGGGCTTATTGTTAGGGTGAGGTGGGACGACAGAGCTAACAGGGAAGTCTCGTCTCTTCCCCGCTTCTCCAGAGCCCGCCGAACTCCGAGAGGCGAAGGCAGTGGGAAGAAAACGCCAGCGAAAGGGGAGCCACTTACCGAGCAGAACCCGAGAGCGCGGCGGCCCGGGTGTAAGCCGCCCTTTGTCTGCTGCCGCGGCGCTGGCGCGCTCAGCCAGGCCGGTCGCAGCCCCAGCTCGCGGCTAGCTCTCGCCGGCGCCCCGACAGCCCGGCTCGCGACTCCCGCTTGGGCTCGGGCTCCAGCTCTGGCCCCAGCCCCGGCCCCCGCCCGCGCCGCCGCCGCCGCTGCGGCTCCGCCCCGAGCCGGGCCCCGCCCCCGCCCGCCGGGCCCCCACCTGCTGCGGCGGCGGCGCTGGGGAGCCGGGCGCTGGGCTCCTGGGGGTGGCCGCCTCCCGCGCGTCCCGCTCTGCCCTCTCGCAGCCTCCAGGCCGTTTGGCCGGGCGGTCCCGGGGCCTTCCCCAACCTGGCCCCGCGGAGACCAGCTCACCTGGGGAGCCAAGCCCCGTCCTGGGGCAGCCTGGCCTTCCCGGGCACACGCGGGCGAGCCCCAGTCACTCCAAGCCCGTCCTCACGCCTCCTGCGGGTGGGAGATCCTCGGGCTCCGTCCCGGAGGGAGGGGGCGCCGGGAAGGCGGGAAGCGGGGATCCGCTGAGCCTGGTCGCCGCCCCGCCAGCCCCGCGCTGCTGCAGCCCCGGGGGCCCGGCGGGAGGTGGTGGCAGAAGGAGCCGGCGGGGACCGGTACGCTCCGCGCTGGAAGGGGCACCGGGCCGAGGGTCGAGGGGGTGCGGAGCCCACGTGCGCCGGTTCCCCGCCGGCCTCTGATTCCGAGCGGGCCGCCTCAGCTGTGGATCTGTGCTCATTGGCAGGACCGGAATAAAACTAACAAAAGGGAACCAACACTTTGGGAGCCAGAGGAAAGGGACAAGAGAAGCCACCGACCCTAACACTGGTAATAACCGGTGCTTCCGTGATGCCTTCAACGAGCCCAAAGCGGTGGACACCGATGAGGGGCGTCACTGAACGAGGGTGCGATCCATTGGAATGGTCGAGGCGCTGCTTTTCTAGGCATAGAAGAGTCTGATAACCTAAATAAATATTGTATAATGAGGTCACTGGTGACTTTAACTGCCCATGAGCCCTCTCCTCTCCCAGAGCCTTCCAAGTGGGACCCGAATTTTGGCACTTTCATAGGCTCTACTGTGTACTGTGGTTATTCCCCCTTCGTCCCCAGAGCCTCATACAATTCCAGGCGCTTAATAATTGTTGAAAGAATTCACTGCCAAATTTTGACGTGGGCAAAAACACAAAAATGAAGGATTGTGAGATCATATTGGAAAACGCACTAAGGGGTTTGCACAGTGATGGTGGTATGAAGGGTAATTAGTGTTAGCTGTCGTGAGTACCTACAATCGCTGTGATTCCTATGTGTGCAGGTAGTAGGTTTGGGATTAAATGCTAAGTTAGAGACCGCAGTTATCACGACCTTCATTAACCTCAGAGAATGGTTGGGGATAAGGAGGGAGCGTGTAACAAGCAAGTGTATGTACATCTGTGGCAAGACATGTGTCTTTCCTAAAGGAAACATTTTAACATTTTGCTTCCTTAATTTTCATTACAAGTATTATCAATTCAGCAAGTAGGCATAAATATGAAATGTTTTGTGTTGATTTATTCGTTTTTATAACATCTCTTCTCTGAAGGAAGAATAAGAGGCCCCAAGGCTGCTCATTTAATTAAAAAAAAAAAAAAAAAGGCAAAACAAAAAAACCCAGAAGGGCAAATGCCCTGCCACCTTAAGCACACTAACTGCAGAATGAGGATCTGGGGAGTCCAAATGAAGAGACTGACCCCCACCAACACCAGGAAAGCTCAGAGTCCCCCTCCTGCATGTTTTTTAATCTCTTTGTCTTAGGTCTGGAAGCTGTTCTTGAGAGCAATGTGCTTGTCCACGTGAGATAATTTATCTCTTCCATTTGGCAACTGGGAAAATGTAATTTTCTCTGTGTGATGAGCATGAGTGAGTGGCTCATGCATTGTGAATGGCTATTCTCCAAATCATGGGACAAGAGACTGTGAAATATGCATGTTTAATATCAGTACCCATTACCGTACAATGGCAGGGGAATGAACAGGAAGCGAATATCTGTCTAGGGCTCTCCACTGTCAGGTGGTCGTGTTCTCTTGTTCCCCTTGTTGCTATCAGGAAACAAGTTATTCCTTGTTTTTACCTCATAGGGAAGACTCGAAGAAACAGCTGGCTGAAGTCGGTGTCAGTCACTGGAAAATAACTGCACAGAATTCAGGAGTTGAGAAGTTCACCAGGTCATTCTAAGACTTTTTTTCTGGGAGGAAAAACAAAATGAGCCAGCGTTTCCTTACTGCCTGTGACTGGACAGCAGAAGCTGAAACTCAGTGGCTAGGCCAGGGGTGCCCACATTTGCTGTGGCCCTGGGAATACAAGGGCAGGGGGTGCTGCATAGAGCAAACACTTGCCCTGTCTGCCTTGCTTAGGGTATTTAGGTATAATTTTCAAAAATATGGTGGTGGCTAAATTTGTCTCCCATGGCACCTGTTTTTGACTCAGACTTAGGTAGAGGAAGGAAGCAACTTAGATGATTAAACAGTTTCCCGACCCCACCCTTTCTGCTCCCAGGAGGAGTTGGCATCAGGGCCAGTGACTGCATGTGGCTTCTCTTCTGGGGGTAAGCACTGGTCATATTTGAGGAATCCACTGGACTGTGGCTTCTAGATGAGGGGGTGACCTCAGCAGCCAGGTGCCCCTTTCCCTCTTGGGTTGTTTCTATCTTGGGAGAAGACTGACATTTTTTCTTCCCCTCTCTCTTTCTATTTATTTACCTCTTTCTTTCTCCTTCCATCACTCCCTCTCTCTCCCTCTCCCTTTCCTTTTCTCCCTCTCTTTTCTCATAGGTCCAGCCTGTCCAGCTATGAAGATGAGACAGACATGGGCTGTTCTCATAGAGTGGAACCTAGGGCCTAGGAATTTGAAATCACTCTTTATTCTTACTTCTAAAAACGCCTTTCCTCACCACAAGAGAGATGAAATCCAAGATGCAGGATCGACCTGATGGAAGGAAGTGATGAGGAGTGTGAGTTGCTTGGTTCTAGCTACAGACTAGTGATTTCTCACTTGCACACTTATGAGAATCACCTAGGAAAGCTATATGTCCATGGAGAAAAAGAAATAATAGGTAACTACAGTGGCCCGCTTACCAGCATCTGTCTCTGTCTCTCATATTCTGCCTTCCCTTATTGTCTTAATATGTTTGTGCTGCTATAGCAGAATACCCAAGACTGGGTAATTTATAATGAACAGAAATGTATTTCCCTTAGTTCTGGAGGCTGGGAATGCAAGATCAAGGCAACGGCAGGTTTGGTCTCTGATGAGAGTCAGGTCTCTGCTTCCAAGATGGCACTTCGTGGCTGCATCCTCTTGAGGGGAGGAATGCTGTGTCCTCATATGGGCAGAAGGCAGAAGGGCAAGAGGGCTGACTACTGCATGAAGCCTCTTTTTGGCTGGGCACAGTGACTCACACGTGTAATCCTAGCACTTTGGGAGTCTAAGGCAGGCAGATTACCTGAGCTCAGTAGTTCGAGGCCAGCTTGGGCAACATGGTAAAACCCTGTCTCTACTAAAATACAAAAAAATTAGCCAGGCATGGTGGTGCATGCCTGTAGTAGTCCCAGCTATTCAGGAGGCTGAGACAGGAGAATCGCTTGAGCCTGGGAGGCGGAGGCTGCAGTGAGCTGAGATCGCACCACTGTACTCCAGCCTGGGTGACAGAGTGAGATTCTGTCTCAAAACAAAGAAGCCACCCTCCACTTGTGTACAACATCTCACTTGTCTCACTTTTATAAGGATATCTCTCTACAAATATGTCCCTCTCTGTTTGATCACCAGTTTTTCCTCAATGCTGGGCCCTAAGCAGTAACTTTCAAATATGGTCTAATGTCTCCCATCTTTAAAAAATGAAACAAAAATACTCTTTTGACCCCATTCTCCTCCAGCTGCTGCCTCAACTCTCTTTTCCTCTTTACAACATCTTGTGGCAAAACGGAACTTGCCTCCTCTCCCTGTGTCTACTTCCTCTCCCTGCATCCTCTCTCTAACCCATTCCAATTATCACTCCATGCAAACTACTCTGGTCAAGGTCCTCACAGACCTCCATGTTTTTAAATCTAATGATCAGTTGTCAGGCTTTATCTTACTTGACCTATCCAGCGTTTGACATAGTCAATCACTCCTTTCTCTTGAAATACTTATTTTTTTGTGTGTGTGGCTCCCAGGACACTTCAGGATTTCCTACAGACTTACTGGTCCTTCAATGAAAAATGAATGCTAACTACTCAAAACAACACAGCAAACAGCAAACAAAATGGAGCTGTACTAAAGCCACCAAACTCAGGAATACAACAGAGATGCTTGCTATCATCACTATTATTAACATTTTTTTAAAGACTAAAATAAAGCAGTAAGACATGAAAATAAAATAGTATATACAAATATGGCAAAGGAAGAAACAAAGTCTTTTATTGTAAATGCTATAATTGCACAACTAAAAACCTTAAGACACTAGTTCTTTAAGAACTATTAGAATTAATAGGAGAATGTGGTGGTGTAGCTAAAAATAGCAAAATAAATAAATAAACCCCAAAGCTGGTTTAAAAAGAACAATAACATATGTAAGCTCCTTAGGAGCCTGGTTAAGGAAAAGAGAAAGAAAAAAATAATATTTTTAATAAAAAGGTGATATAAGCATAGATTCAGAAGATATTCTAAATATTATTAAAGAAAATAAAATGCAGTTTCCTGGTAAGACATTTAAAATAGTTGTTTTTATCTTTTCTTGGACATAGTCCCTGCTTTCACAGAGCTCATAGTCTAATAAGAGAGAGAGAGAGTTTAAATACATGCTTACACAAATAAGTGATTTTTCCTGTGCGAGAGGTCTAACAAGGAGACCTCATCTCATCTGGGGAATCAGGAAAGGTTTCATATGGGAGAAAAAATTGAGTTGGATGAAGAACAGAGGAAAAGTGGCTTAAGCAGAGGGAACAGTATGGGGGAACACTGAAGAAAAGGTTGGAAAGTTTGCAAGTGTCTCACTGACTACAGGGGTAGGACATGGTGGGAAGAGCAGGTGGAGAGAGAGGCAGCGCACAAGTCATGCAAAGGCTTGTAGCCATCACAAGGATTTTAACCTTTATCCTAAGTATCATGAGAAGGTCTTTCAACATTTTGAGCAGGGAAGCCTTGAGTCCCTACTGTGTAAATTACTTCCCCTGTAAGGTCTGCAAAGATTGTAACCACGCATCAAGGTAGCATTGTCCAGGATCCTTTGTAACTAGCATCATTCAGTGCTACCAGCCACTAATACCCGCTTCTTCCTCTGTAGCCCCAAAACGTTCAATGTCTTATAGGTTTGGGTAGAAATCCTGACATGTCTTCAAAGCAAGTTAACCCAGGTGACCAGTATCTAGTGGTCTGGGGCAGACCTTGACTCTCACCTGATTCCCACAGGCAGTGCAGACCTCAGCCTGATCACTTCCCACAAGTTTCTTGATTGACTTGGCCCATCCCAGCAGTCTCTTCTTTCAGTCCATGAAAGATAAGACCTCACCAGAGTTTTAAGTACACTTTCCTACCCTTGGTGCTTACCCAGTACTGTGTTTTTCAAACTACAGATCATAACCCATTATGGGCTGTGAAATCAAACATGCAGCTTGTGCTGGTATTCTTGAAACGATGGAATAGAATAGAATAGAATAGAATAGAATAGAATAGAATAGAATAGAATAGAATAGAATAAGAAAATAGCAGAGTTCATTGTAAATGATGAGAGCATCACTTACATTTCAATTTCAATTTATATGAATATATATGACATTTCAATTTCAGATATATATATGTTCGTGTGTGTATATACTATAGGTTATAACATTAAATGGTTTTTAAATTATGAGTCATGATCAAAAAGAGTTTGAGATTCAGTACCCTACTTCCTCCCTTCATCTGCTCTCTGTAGAAACTTGAACTTACTGAGATCTGACTCCTTTGTCATTTCTCCACAAGAGTCCAAAGAACCCAAAGATTCTTTTGTTCATATCTCCAAGTTGTTTTAATTCATCACCTGACCTGCTAAAATGTCCTGTTTGTCTCATACAAACAATCCCATTATTAGAATACATTTTGAGTTTTCCCCCTAATCCTATTGCTTGAGTTTTTCTTCATCACCAACAGTGGCTCATGCTTATCAAAGTACTCCATGGCTTGATGAATAGCCCATATCTACGTGGACAGAAAACTTACTGCCTGTGTCTTTTTGGTACCTAATTCAGGTAACCAGCCTCAGAGTGGTCTATGAACTTCATCCTTCAATTCCCAAATCTTCATTAAGTATATATTATTGTTTTAGATTCCCAAACAACCATCATGCCAAGCTAGCATGGTCCCTGACATCCAGGAGCCTAGAAGATAATTGATCTAATATTTGTCCTAGTCACTTAATTATTGGGTGCTTACTGCATGCTTAGAACAGTGTTATGTATTTACACCCTGATGGTTATAACCCACTGGACTCAGAGTTCTAACCTTTAAACTTAGTCTATTTGTTCTCT